TGGTAGAGGACGTGGCTCGGGTCCGAGGAGGTGTACTCATTGTGGTATGGATGGACATACCATTTTAATTATTGCTATGACTTGCATGGTCCACCCTCAACCTGGGCCAATCATGCCATRACTAGTGACACCAGTTCCAGTTTCAGATAGGAGAATCGTTCAGCTGATCAGATGCCTCCTACATCCACAGATGGTCTTGGGAAGGAGATGGTGAGTGTTCCCGTGATGAGTAAGAGAGGTTTGTCCAATCCACATCTCAGCAGAACACGACTACTTTCGCACACTCAGGTATGGCTTGTTTGGCATCCACACCCAGTCCCTGGATTATTGACTCTGGAGCCTCCGATCACATGACTGGAACTCCAGGTGTGTTTTCTTCCCTCTCTCATTCCTCAACATCACAATCTGTTACCCTTGGTTTTGGGAAGCTTTAACTTGATGGCAATTTCTCAACTAAGTCCTTCAGAACCTTGGTTTTGGGAATCTCCAACTCTAGTTTTCTTCGCAAGAGGATCTGGTGCTCAAATATTCCTCCTGGAGTCTATTTCTTTGTGTGGGAGGCCTGCCTCCACAAAATCAACACTTGCGACTTGGTTCAGAAGAAGAACAAAGGCAGATTGTTTATCTTCCCCCATGCTTGCTCTTTATATCTGAAGGAAGATGAATCCATTGATCACCTCTTTCTTCATTGCCCCGGAACAAGGAAGATCTGGTTCTACTTCCTTAATCATGTAGGATACAGCTTGGTTTTTCCGGGAAACGTAATTGATTACATCTGGCAATGGATAGGAAGTGGTCTTGGAAGCAGGGGGAAAGTTTATTGGTGCACAATTGCCCAAGCAGTGATATGGTGTGTTTGGGAAGAAAGAAAAAATCGTCTTTTTGAAAACAGAACCAGATCTTTTGAAGATTTACTTTCCCACATTATTTTCTTTGGCAATCTATGGGCCTCTGTTTCTGCAGAGTTCAAAGGCTTATCTCTAAGTGACATGCAAAGAAATTTGGGGGAAATCCCGTTCTCTTCACCAAGACCTTATACCAGGTCAATTGCTGTTCCTGTAAGTTTGGTATCAGAACTGAGTCTAAATTTTGATGGCAGTGCCTTGGGCAACCCCAGAGTTGCTGTAATTGGTGGAGCTTTTAGAGGAAGGGACAAAAGCATTAAGTGGGCTTTTAGTGGCCCAATCGGGGTTGCTGATTCATCAAAAGCAGAAATCATGGCTGCACTCACAGTTCTTCGAATTGCTAAAGAAAAGGCCTGGTCTGTTCTAACTATAAAAGGAGACTCTGCAAACACAATAAGATGATTAGGGGAGAGTGATAAAAAAAATAATAATGAGATGGTTAATGGAGAAGGAGGGAGGCTGTCATTCCTATTTCCTAATGTATTGGAAATTTAATATTCCTAAATAGGGATTATGCAAGCATTATGCAAATATTCCTATGCAAGCAAGTAGTATACAAATAGAAATTAAATAGAAAAATGTTAAATGCACATTAAAAAGGCAAATTTCAGCCAAACCTGGCAAAGAAAAGGAAAAAGAACAAGGGCAGAACCCTTGTTTTTATTCAAAGAAGGAGAAGGACCACTAACGAGTGATGATTGAACCAGTTCGAAGAAGTAGAAAAGAAGAATAATAGTGGGTGGAGCCCCTGTTTTTTGTTCGAAGAAGAAGAAGACAATTAGAAAGTAAAAAAGAAGAAAAGAACATGGTCTAGGTGGACTGAAAGTTTGAAATTGAGAAGTAGAAGAAAAAAATATAAAGAGGAAAAAAGTGGTGGAGCTCCTGTTTTTCATTTGAAGAGAAGAAAAAAAAAATGATGGTCTGGGGTTTGGGCGGACTGAAACTGAGAAAACAAAGTGTCTGGTTGTATGTAACATTACATACTTGGAGCTGGAGGTGAGGAACAATGTAGTTCTCCTTCTTCCTTGTCATTCAGTGTTTGGTTGAATGTAACAAAAACCCTACAAAACAAAAAGTGGGGTTTAAGTTTTGTGTTTTGTTTGTATCATAAAATTGTAATAAAAATACAATTTCACTATGTAATAGGTGTATTTTAAAAAGGTAAAACAAGCAGTAGGATCCAATAAAAATCAAGACTTATTGCACAAGGTGTCTGCCTGGTCGCCTAGGTGACCCATCTAATACTTTGGGCAAGCGCCTTATGTTAAAACCTTTAGTCATCTGGGCAAGGTGACCCTTGGAAACCACCTAGTCACCTAGGTGTCGTAAAGACCTGGGATTGTGTCCTGCCTTCAGCTAGGTTGGGGGGTCTAGGAGTTTGGGGGAGGGCTACCCCTTGTGTATCCATAACCCAAAATTCAAAAAAAGAAAAAGAAACTACCTACATGGAAGTTGGGAATGAATTACAAAAACAAAACAACAAATTAGGGTTGATAGGTTTTTCCACCATGATGAAACAAATATTAATGGAATAAACTCCTCAAAAAGAAAAGACAAAGAGATGTTAAATTGGAATATCCATTTCAATTCTAAGAATGAGTTACAAGCTATCTTTCCTTTTAATTGTTCTCAAAGCACAATTCCAAAATTGAAAACATTAGCCTTGTAGTCATATGGCTTCTATTCTATTACTTTCAATTTGAAAAAGAAATACAATGAAGACAACTAAAAGAAAGCCTAGAAAAAGCAAAAATTAGAAACAGTGGAGCCATAAATCGATGGTGAATAGAAGGTTTATGCCCTTGTATTTCTCCAATTTTGCAAATGGGTTCCTTGTCTCGCTACACCAACTCTTTGTAGCCCTATGTTCACTCCAAGACTCAAATGGTCACAGATCACTTGAGAACCAAAATTCAATCAAATTATATTATTAAGTTATTTTGAATGGTTTTTCAAGAAAATAATTTATTTGAATAAAACCAATTAGACTGAATGTTGAGCTTCCGAAAACGAAGAAGATTTTCTTGGCGATACCAACCAAAGTTCTAGACCCTAAAACCAAGTTAAGAAGATTTTCCTGTAATGTTGCAAGGTAAGCACAATGGTTAACCTACAAAAGAGAAAACCCTTCCTATGTATTTCTTCAAACTGGTGCACTCTTTGTAGATCTCATGGTGAGGACCGTTATCACTCATTTATATCATGTAGGCAGAGCTCTTGGTTTGGCTTCTATCATTGTTTGGGTGTAGATGGGATATGCTAACAGAAGTAAGTACAGGCTTTAACCCTTTTATGTTCTATTGGCCCCATAAAAGATGAAGGAAAATGTGGAGGTGTGCATGAGCCGCCTTGTTAAGGACAGTTTGGGAAGAAAGAAATGTGAGGATCTTCCAGGAAAAGGGGAGGAGCAGTCAGGCCTTGAAGGATTGCATTATGTATAGGGCAATAAATTGGTTAAAGACTAGATTTGCTTGATCATTTCTCCTTTACTGATTGTTGGAGGGATTGGTTATCAGTAGCAAGCTGTTCCTCCTCCAAGGTAAAGGTAATGACAAGCTGGGTTCCCCCTCCTCATGGTTCTTTGAAGCTGAATTTTGATGGGAGTAGCCAGGGCAACCCGGGTGGATTGGGAAGTGTATTGAGGAATGAGGCTGGAGAGGCTGTCATACCATACTCTGGTCTCTGGCCCTTTAGGTGTTGGAAACTCTCTTTGGGTAGAGCTGTTAGCTGCAATACAAGGAATTCTTGCAAAAGAAATGGGTGTGGAGCAGATTTTGGTTGAAGGGGACTCTAAGACAGTGGTGAACTAGTTAAATAATCCAGAGGATGTCACGTGGGGTTAGAAGAATGAGATAAAGAAATTCAAATGGCTGACAAGGAATATGTCTGTAATAGTACAGTGGGTTGGGAGATCAGCTAATGCATTTTCTGATGTCTTGGAAAAACAAGGGACAAATAGGGAAACATTGTTCTGGGCGCAACTGTAATTTGTGTTTTTAAGTAGTCATGCATTTTTTTATGTAGTTTTTGTGTTTTCTGTGTGTAGAGGCAGCACCTCGTGCCTCTCTAAGGGGATTTTCATGTAACCAATCTTTGAATTAATGGAATATGATTCTTTACTTATAAAAGAATGTATGAATTGGGAAGCCTAAATATAAAAAAAAGCAGAATTACGAAGCTAATTAGGAAGCCATCTAAAATGATTTCATGGTTCTCTTTAAAAGTGTTGAATGCACAATCTTAACCTATTGTCTAAAAATATCTGAAATCTTGTCTTTAAATGAAGAAATCACTTTAAAATTTTAATGGTTTTGACTTTTCTTGTGAATGATGTTAAATGTAGGGCTTATGATGAGTTTTACCATAAATTAGGTACTAGACATGGAGAAAAAGGACTTTGTAAACCATCAAACTTAAAAGAAAGGGAAGGCAAAGATTTAAACCATGTTAGGTGCATTGAAGATGAAAATCAAAGAGTCTTGCTAAAAGATGAGGAAATCAAATGGAAATGGAAAAGCTATTTTGAAAATTTATTTAATAAACAATAGGGAGAGGGTGCTAATGGGGGAAAATCTAGCAATGCTAGTAGTGTTAGAAATAACATGTACCTTCGCAGAGTTAGGCTTATTGAAGCAAAAGAGGCACTAAATGAGATAAAGGGAAAGGCACTAGGACCCAATGGGATTCCAATAGAAGTGTGGAAAGGTGTGGGAGAGGTATGCTTGTTTTGGCCAACTAAGTTATTTAATAAGATAGCAAAAGAAAAGAAGATGCTTGATGATTGGAGGGGATTAAACTCATGAATCACACTATTAAACTTTGGGTGAGAATAATTGAACAAAGATTATGACTTGAAACAAGTTTATCAGAGGACCAATTTTCCTTTATTCCAAGGAGATCAACCATGGAAACTTTATTTCTTTTGTGAAACGACTGGTAGAAAATTTTGGAGAGAAGAAAAAAGATCTCTATACGGTATTCATTGACCTAGGGAAGTTATATGATAAAGTTCGTAGAAATATAATATGGTCAGTCTTGGAAAAGAAAGGGGTTCAAAATAAGTATATAGACTTAGGATATGCATGAAGGGGCAAAACCAATGTTAAAAAACTAGTGGGAGAGACTTCAGATTTTACAGTTACAATGGGTCTTCACCAAAGGTTAGTACTTAGCCCTTATCTATTTGCGTTGATCATAGATGAATTGACTAAGCATATTCAAGAGGAAGTTTCATGGTGCCTGTTGTTTGCAGGTGAAATTGTTTTAATTGATGAAACTAAAGAGGGATTTAATGCAAAATTAAGCTTACGGACAACTGTCTTAGAAACTGGAGGTTTTAAAATAAGTAGGACTAAACACAGTATTTGACATGTAAATTTAGTATTAATAGGAGTGTAAATGATGACACAGTTGGGATTGGAGACCAAGAGATAACTCAATGTGACCATTTTCAGTACCTTGGTTCAATAATTCTTAACAAGGGAGAGATTGAGGAGGATGCCACCCAAAGAATTAAGTAGTATGGGCAAAATGGAGGGGTGTATCTGGACTTTTATGTAATTAACAAATACCACTTGGACTAAAAGAAAAATTCTATAAAACAGTTGTAAGGCCAACTATGTTGTATGGAGCTCAATAGAGTGTTGGGTAGTCAATAAACAAACATGTCTAGAAAATGAGTGTGATAGAAATGTGAATACTAAGATGGACGAGTGGAAAAACTAGAAAGGATATTATGATGAATGAAGTCATCTGTAGGAGACTAGAATTAGCTCCAATAGGTGACAAAATGAGAGAAAGTAGAGTATGATGACTTGTTCATGTGCATTGAAGACCATCAACAACACCAATTGGAAGAAGTGATTTTTGTTACAAGTTGAAGGGGCTAGAAGGGCTAGGGGTAGACCAAAAAGGACATGGATAGTAGTAAGAAATGATTTAAAAACTAATGATTTAACGGTGGATATGGCTTTAAATAAAACAGATTAGTGAAGCGGGATTCACGTAGTTGATCCTATATAGTGGGGATGAGGCATGGATGATGATAATGATCTTTTCTTGTATTATAAGCTGTAAACTATATGATCAGTTAAATTCAAGCTATAATAACAATGTGACCACAAAAAAAAAAAAGAATGAAAGAATATATGATATTAGAGATTTGCTCAAATGTTTTCTATAAATTTTTTTGTATCTTTTATACTTGTGTTTTTCATCTTTTTAAATTTTTATTATTATTTAACTTTGATATCAAGGGCTGATACATTTTGACCGAAAAAGTTGAATTGTTGACTTGCCACAAAACAGGAAAACAACTCTATTATTGGGTTGGTTTGAAATTTGTATTTTATTTCTATCATCAATAAAAATAATTATTTTTTATCATACTTTAATATGGTTAATTAATATAGGATTCATTAAAAGAATGGTTGTTATTAGCCTCAATATAAGACTTAATGAGAGAGAATTAAATGAGAAGAAATGTAGTACAAATTACATTTTGTGCCTTCACAATTAGAGAGACCTTCACTGTACACCATTTTGCTTTTATATATTGTATATACATACTGTGGGTGAAAGGGAAGGAAGTTCTATAAATGTTCAATTTAGTTAGGCACTGATTCTAACATTACACATTGAACGGCTACCAGAATAAGTTATGATAACCCTGATGGCTGCACAAATCTGATGTACTAGTGTCAGACACGATACATGTAACATGCCTGATATAACACCGGATAATGCTTGAACACTTCTAGAGTATTTTCTATAGCATTGGTTCACTGGTAAAGCTGATTCTGAGATTCCTATTATCCTCTATATTTACCAATGTCAAGGCTTCCTGATCCATGAGCAACACAGGTTGTCCAGTAATTCTTCCAAGAGAAAGTGAGTCTGTACTTTTGGGTGCTGCTATTCTTGGTGCTGTTGCTGCAAAGAAGTACTCTAGTCTCATTGAAGCCATGAAGGCACTAAATGCAGCTGGGCAGGTATGGACTAAAGAACCTGAGCTTGATTTTTTTTTTGTTTTCTTTTTCCTTGCACTAATTGAAATTGCATGGAGCTACCAAAACAATAATTTGAACAGCTAGGTTCTTCTAGCTGAAACTTTAGTTGGTTCTGGTACTTAAATGCCAATGATGTATATTAAACATTCTAGATGTGGCCCAAAAGTTAAAACACTTTTCAATGATCTGAATATGTGCATTTTGTATGGTCTCGTAAAAAATCCATTCTTAGTAGTCACCCATAAAGATTACTAGAGGTACTTCTGTTCGTAGGGAAAACTGCGGCTGTTTGACAAAAACAGCCTGGGTTGTTTGAGAGGTTCCTGCACATGACAATGGGTGTGGTGTAAAAGAATAATTGCAACCAATGTTCTTTTACCAAAAAGACATGGACCGAGTGGGGTAATGTGTCATGGAGAGGATGCTTCCAAACATCCCAAGCTGTTTTGTCCAAGCAGCGAAAGCTTCCCCCTGTTGATATGATAACATGGCATTGGTTCATACGGACATTTTCCATCACCAAATATTGAATGTTTTGAGTTTTGAAAGATAATGGGGCATGATGAATTCAATTCGCAATAGCTGTATATTTTCAGTGATTATAATTTTCAATAACCATAAAACTCTGTTCCTGTACCCTCGAACTTTTGGGTTGCGACAATTTGACTCAACCTTGATGTGATATTCATTGGTTGCATAACTGATTCTAAGACTACTTTTACCATTCAAAATGGCGAATTTGGATTTGTGATCTAATATATTTTGATTTTTTTTTAATTTTTTAATTCCAGGTTATCCATCCTTCTAAAGACCCAAACGTGAAGAAGTACCATGATGCCAAGTATCGGATTGTCCGGGAGCTTTATGAGCAGCAGCTGTCTCATCGTTCAATCATGGATCAAGCATTGTCATAGATCTTGTAGTCCTCCTTATAGTATATTTTTTTTTCTTTTTTTTTTAGGGGGGTGGGATTAACCACTCTGGTTTGGATGTAGAAACACCTGAAATGTTGGTCTTTACTGTTGCCTGTTGAGTATTGTGTGTTGACAAGTGTTTGATAATTGATATGTAATTGGGAGAATTTTTTTAAATGAAAAAATTGCAAAATTACTATCTGTAAGCCTCATCTTGATTTTCTTTTCTTTTGTGCATTTCTTCGCCTGGTTAATTTCTTACTCAGGACAAAAGATTGACAATGATTTGATAGATCATATTTTACAGTACAGTTGTGCAACTGTACCAAGCAATTTGTCTAATGACGGTCAAAACCCGTTCTGACGTCGCAATACAGCAGCACTGTAGAGATATTTTCTTCCTGTACAGCTTAGCCTTGTGTTGATGATGGGTGCTCCAAGCATTTACCCAAGTAGGGCTGCAAACGGTATCCGATTTTCCAAATTCCAATTCGATACATTTAAAAGGTGATATGAATTGATCCATTTGTACTTCCACCAAATATAGATATATTCCTGTTGTTTTTTTTGGTTGAAAGATAGACTCCTATTTGATAGATACAATTCAATTTAAATAAATGATTAGAATTTATATTATGTCTATTAGTGAAGTTAGATTGATATTGTGTTTCTACTAACTACTAATTAGTCATAGTCATAAACTCATAGGATCAGGTTCCATATTCAATATCAAACTCATTTTATATCATTTTATACGTAAAATATAATATTTTCATTACTTTAGTTTATTTTATTTATACTATTTAATATTTGTTTGCAATCCGAATTTGATTTGAATCCCATATAAATCCAATTCGAGTTCAAATATAAACAAAACAAATTTTCATCTAGCAATATCTGATTCGATTTAATCTATTTGCAGCCTATTACCAAGGCTTTAGAAGGTAAAAGGAAGAGGTGAAGCAGTTGTAATATAATTTTTCTTAAAATTATTTTTCAGACAATGTCTTTTTGAAATATATATTTTTCTTAAAATTTGTGTCAATATAATTTATTTCTTTTAGTAGCCATTTTACATACTTTCATTTTATTACATACGTATTCTTTTTAATACGGATCTTATGTTTTGAAACTTTTATTTTGTATTTTTGTCTTGTCTTTATAATTTTCTCTATGTTATAGAATTCATGTATACAAACTAAATTTATTTGCTTATGCATTTAATGGTGTATTTTATTTTATTTCATGGTGCATTAAGTGCATGGTGTAGGTACATGTTGATCACTATAACCGTAATAGCGTAGAAGGCGCTAAACCGATGCCACAAAGATACTTGTGACGAGTTCATGACTCGGCACAAATCTGCGATGAGCTTTGAGCCTGCATAGACTTGCGATGAGCTCAAAGCCTCAAACGAGCTTGTGATGAGCTTAGGGCCGTCGTAGACCTACAATAGACCCAAAGCCACAATACCAAAGATAAACTCAAAGCCATCGTGAGCCTACGATGAGCACAAAGCCATTACGAGGCTACGATGAGCTTAGAGCCATTGCAAACTTCCGATGAGCTCACATCCATCGTGTATCAGTGACGAATGAAAGAACATGATGACTGACCAACGTCACTTGTGATAAAACGTCCAATAGGATTAAAAGACACGTGAGATTAATATTGACATCATCCGTGCCACATCAGTCTAGTAGATTCACAAAAGGAAGTAGCATACATGTATTATGAGAATCCTTAGACGAAAGGAAACATCATCATTGAGATATTTCATAAGACACATGGTGAAACTCTAGAGGTGTCCCCTTGACAATTAACACTGAATCAAAGATTCTTTTTTCAAATAGGAATCAAACTCTTTTGGCCCATTCCTTTCGGGACCTCGGGATCTTTCCCTATAAAAGGAGGTTCACTCATAATGAGAGAACATTCTGTTAACCATAGCCTTTAGCCTACCTTTTGCCTTTGAGCCTTTTCTTCATCCTTCAAGGAGACCTCCGTACGTAGCCTTACCACACTAGAATTAACCTTTCTCCTATCCCTGAAGAACAAATCAATGAGCAAGAGAACATCAACCCAGAGATCAAAGATCAGGCCAATCAAGAGTCAACCGGGCAGGTTGACATCGAGATCCTCTCCAACAAGGTGTACGAGTTCGAGACTCATTTCGACCACATAGAATAGATGCAAGCCGAGATGAGAAGCACCTTGCAGTTACTCCTTCAGAGGTTGTCTATGACCGAACGTTCCCCTTTCACCTTTGTTGGCCCTTCCACATCCATCCCTGCCATTCACCCTGTTAACCCGAACCCCATCATGAACGAACACCATCCTAGGACCAACCCTGTGCCTACACAATATATGGTACAAAGGACTTGTTTTTCTATGCTGAACAACCCCATGTGACCCCAAAAAACAATACGGCAACAGAGGCACCCATCAGCCGTGATGAATTGAAGGAGTAATGTCTAGGGCCTGATGGAGGAGAGCCAAAATAGGGCCCAATCTTTACGTATCCTCCAAAAACCCTACTATGACAGGATCTTGTACAAACCTTATCCCTCTGGCTATGTCCCACCACAACAGAGGCTATAGTATAATGGGCAGAAAGGGAGCCCACGAGAGTATGTGAACAAGTTTAGGGATGCCTTGGGATCATTTTCCTTGGATGGAGACTTGAAGGTCCGGGAATTCTCCAAATCCATGATTGGACCTGCATATACTTGGTTCGTTAATCTGACTACGAGTAGCATTGGCGAAAAGATTCTTGTCCAAATGGTTTACCCTAGAGCGGAGGCTGACAATGGCGGACCTGCACAACACAAAGCAACACACAGGGAAGGACCTCTTGGCTTATGTCATGATGTTCTAAAAGTTGACACACTCGGCTTTTGATGAGCATGCTATTAAAAAGAGTTTTGTTGAATTGTGCGTGCAAGGGATGCATCCAGTCTACAGGATAGGCATTGAAAATGTTGAAGTTGAAACCTTTAGTCAGTTGTGGAAGTGCGTAGAGAGGACGACACACACTATCAAGAGTACCACACCCTAGTCTACCCAGGCGGCACCACACTATGGAAGGAATGAATCGTATGTCGTTGACCAAAGGCCTTGAAACACCAAGGGGCCTAACCAGGGGAATAGCTTGCTACCGCCATCCTCTCCTCCTTTGACTTGTAGCAAAGATGAAGTAATAATGATAATGAACAAACTGGTGGAGGATCGTGTTATCAACCTACCACCACCACCACCGAGTCGATCAAGAGAAAAAGAGGCATGGGGGGAGGTGGTGTAATTTTCACCAGTCGCCAAACCATGATTTAATGGACTGCTTCACACTTCGGCGGTTGTTTGTGCAGAAGGTGAAGCTGGATGACTTTGTTAAAAGGAAACCAGCTCAGGTGGAGACCAACTCCCTCCTTGCACACACCCAGGGAGGTAGTATCAATGTGGTAGGTGCACCAGGTCAGGACCACCCTGACATGCTGACCCAGCGGTTCGAACAGGGAGCCAGCGCTACAACAAGGCGATTCGCCATCAGGGCACTAGTAGAAGCATTCAAAATGCCACTTGAGCCCCATCGATTGGTCAAGTCACATGTAGAGTTCACTCTAGATGACATGCTAGCTACTGACCCCCACCACAACTGGCCCCTATACATAACGACCAAGATAGAGGGCTACGAGATGCAGTGATCGATGATCGGTCAGGGAAGTTCTGTGAACCTGATCTCTATTCACACCTTGAAGCTGATGAACATATAGAAGGAGACCGTCAAGGGATTGCCTATGGAAGTTACATATTTCAATGGTAATGCATCTATCACAGGGGGGGTCCATTGAGCTGTTAGTTCACCGTCAACCAAGAGTTTCAAGTGATCTCGAGGAGGACAACATACCACACTTTGTTAGGGCGCCCATTGATACATGGCCTAGCACTGGTCCCATCTACATACCACCAGTGCATCAAGGCCAAGCATAGGGGCCGTGTAGTGAGAATCCCAGCGACCGTGTCCTATTTGATAGAATAGAGACCCACCTTCAAGACATGATTTACTAAATAGAGCTGGCTGAAGAAGGTGAGACTGGAGTGGCTAAGGTGGAGAGTGTATAGCTGTCGAACCTAGGAAGCGAGCCTCCTTTAGTGCTTGAGAGAAAGAAGCGGTCCAGGTGTCTACGGGTCACCAATGAGAACAAGGAAAGCTATTACACGATTGTGGAGGAATACGAGGATGCTGACACACTAACCACAAAGAAGGCCATCCCCGAAGTATGAATTTATTTATCATATTATCTGCCATAGCCACTAAAAGCAAATGTTCACTATAAATTATGTCTCAACAAATAAAGAAATATATGCACATATTCTAAATTTTGGCTCAATCAGAAATATTTTACCATGCCATCTCCACGAAAGGATACCATGATGATCTCATTGCAAAAGAACTATGAAAATACAAAACAAGGATCATCAGAATCAAAGGTACAACGTAACAAATTTGTACACACAATTAGCAACAAAGGGAAATACTAAAATCACTTAAATAATAGGAGCACAACAAGGAAACAATATAGTATTACGATGAAATCCACACGCCCCCGAAGCATATGCAAGATTCCAATGGTGTTGTAGAAAAACCACTAGAATAGATCAATATGGCCACAGAAGGAGTGGAGAAAAGGCCGTTATACATTTCGGCCAAGCTAGAACCTGAAGAAAAATAAAAATTGTTGGACCTTTTGAAAGATTTCCAGGATGTTTTTGATGGAATGGTTAGGATCCATCGTATGGAATGGCAGAATCATGCTAGATGGCTGGGTGAAATTTCAAAAATTTCCTAATCCTTTCGGGAATCGAATTGCTTATGTTTTCAAAAAACAGTATTTTTCATGATCGGTCTTGCACTGAATTGGACCAAATTTGAAACCAACCAAAGACGGATATGTATACCTGAAATGGATACCACTAAAGAAAGGGTTTCTTGGAAGACAAAAGGAGAAGAGAGAACAAGAGAGAGAGGTGTTCTAGTCTACTTTGCCCTCTTCTTCTTTTATCTCTTTGTGGAGCACTTCTCCTAATCAAATTAGGAGATTATCCGAATCTAATTTGGATCTAGACTCTATTAAGAGATAAGCATTGCCCTCTTAAGAAGATGAGTTCTCCATACCCATTTCCAAACCCAGATTCGCCCCATGTTACA